GGCAAGGGCAGCCCCTTCCCGTTCCTTTGTGTGCACGCCTTATCGTTGAAGAGAAGGTATTTCTTGCTTCCCAGATCCCAATCTTCAGGGGCAGGGATAGGGGGAGGACAGGCACAGGGGGGGATAGATGCATCGGCCCCCATTCGCACATCGATCGCCGATAAGGGCTCGATGGCTTCAACCAGCCCAGGACAGTGCGGATTCAGCAGCGGGGGCTAATCGTCAGTTTGTTGGTGGTGTATCGCCGATTCCAGGTCGATGTTTCCCCCCCTACGCCAGTCCCCCCTCCCTGCTTCAAGAACCGATCTGTTCGTTCCTCTCTGGGAGGGCCTGGGCCCGATGTCTGTTCATGGGAGCCTTGGGCGGCGACATTGAAATCAGCTTTTCCTGCATGTGGACAGCGAGGGGACCGCATTTGGCCCATCCTCCTGCTCCTCCTCTCCCCTCCTGTTCCCCCTCCCCTCCTCGCTCTCCTAGCCCCCACGAGTCCAGGCCAAGTCTGGTCCAGATCCGGACCAACTGTGTTCCAAATCCGGTCCAAAGCAGGCCCAAATCGGACAGTGCCGGGGGCCACGCGGGCTCCCATGGAACGGGCACCAAAGACATATGGGCGCCCAGGGTCGGAGTAAAACAGGGCTAGGATCGGGATAAATCGCTCCAGAGCGTTCCGGAGCGCTCTCAGAGCGTTCCGGAACGCTCTGGAGCGACCGCGGCGCCCAATACATCCTCCAAACCCGCCGATTCTCAGAGATTTCGAGTTATCCCGATCCGATTTTGTCCCGATCTTCGTGTCGTTTTACCCATGAAACGGACACCAAAGACATATGGGCGCCCAGGGGCGGGGCCAGCTGGCCAACGGAGAGGGACCTGCTCAAGGCGGCCACGGGTCGCGCCGGTTCCGGGGGGAGACGGGCAGGAGGAGGGGCAGACTGGCCGAGGTGCAGCTCCTCCTCCTCCTCCTCCTCCTCCTCCTCCTCCTCGTCCTCCTCCTCCCCCTCCTCCTCCTCCTCCTCCTCCTCCTCCTCCTCCTCCTCCTCCGATCGGGACAAAATCGAATCGGGACGGGTTAGGAGGATCGGTCGGAAGCAGGGCAAGGGCTGCTGAATGCGTGGCTGCTAAAATCGACCTCCGGAAAGCTGTCGTCGTCCTGCCGGGAAGGAGCCCGGTGACTGTTTCGCGTGCCGCGCCTCATTCCGGGAAGTTGTCTTTTCTTTCCGGGAGGGCCGTTTTAGCAGCCACGGATTCAGCAGCCCTCGCCCAGCTTCCGAATCTGGCTGGGAGAAATGATCCGATCGTCCACAAGATCGAGTGTGTCGAAGGTGCTTTTTTATCAAACATGCGCACCCTACAACTATCCTCCCACCCCCTTTTCTCCCAACACGGCACATTCTCGGCAATAATTACACCCTCCCGTACCCTTCCCGTACATCACATGCATGCAGTCCCAGAACTCCGACGCCTTTCACGTACACTCCATCTCTCTGCGGGATGAGCCCGCCTGAACGGCGAGTGTCCTATGGGCCCGTGTGTAAAGTGGCCCTGGGACACACAAGATTCCTAGTATTTTCCCATATGTCCTGGGTTTTCGTCTCCCCCCCCACTTCGCATATTTTCCCATATTTCCGTGGGAGTCGACGATTAATTGTGTCTGTGTTTTTATCCCTTCCTGGGTGATCAACTCCGCAGCTTCAGGACCATTTCGGTGAGGATGTCCCAGGCGAAACGCCCGTCCAGCAAGCACGCGTCGTTATGCCAGGAACTTGCAGTCAGAATGTGAAGGTGGTGGTAGCTCAGCTGGGAAAGTAACGGCTGCCCCTGCACATTATCGGACAGTTCTTTGTGGTGTGGTGCCCTCGCTGTCCAGACGTCGCTCAAGAACTAGTCTCGTTGCAGAGACTCGCTGCTCCAGCTGGCATTCACCTTCAGTTGCCCGAGTTGTTATCTATGTGTTTCCGCTTTGTGCAGGCACCAGCCAGCCACAACACCCTCGACAGCACCGACGGCGGCTGGGAGTCGACATTCATGGCGGCAGAAGCGAGCTTCGCAGCCAGGCTCCTCTCGCTCTTCCCGAATGTGCCACGGCACACCGCGTGCGCTCAATGTAGTTCACCGTATGCCTTGAAGGCCACCCTTCGTGTGATCAGGAGGGCTCGCCACCACACGCCAAACCACCCCAACCCAACCCGAAGGCCTCGCCCTGCCCTCCATTTCCCGCGGGGGGCAGTCGGGGACCATGGAAAAACACGGATGGAACCCGCACCCTCCCCAACCCGAGGTTCGGGTCTTCGGGCTGGATTGGGGTGGTCTGGTAGGCAGCCAGTTAAGGGGGGGTGCGCCACGGGACAGCCACAGGACAGCTGCGGGACGGGACAGCCGCTGGACAGCCCCAGACACGCTCAAGGTAAGGCCTTGGCATCGCTCGGACGTGTGCATTTTTTCTTCGGCGAGAACCATCGAGGAGCATCCTTGATCATTTGCCGAAAAAGCACGCACGAAACCAAACAAAACACAGGGAATGGACGTCCGAGCGATGGCCAGAGGCGGGCTACAGATTCCTTCCGGCGTGCCCCTGGGGCGAGCTGGTGCAGGCAGTCCCGCGCTGCGTCGCCTCGCCCGCACGAGCGACGCTGCAGTGGACGCCCATGCCAAGAAGCACCCTGCTGGCCTCCAGGGTGCCATGGGTGTCTTGGGTTTCGATGGTTGTGCTGTGGAAAACGCCACGTTCCCACACCAAAAGTCAATGGACGGCCTGGGGTCGCAGGGTTGGGTTGTTTGTGGAACGTTTCTTGTGGCCGAGCCCCTACCGAAACCGAAACCGACAACCATTTTCTGGGCTGGGCAACTCCGTGTCAGTTCGGTCCCACCGCCACGTTCCAGTCCAGTACTACGCTCGCATTTGGCTGTGTCGCATCGTGCGCATGCCCCCGCCACCGCATCATTCCGTGTGCATGGCACTTCTCGCGTGGGTTGTGCTCCACGTGGTCTTGGTTCCACACTCGCAATGTTCTACATTTGTTCGCAGTGCCACGCTGTACGTTCGTACCGAAGTTCCCGTGGCATGTCTTGCCTTGCACACATTTGATGTGTCATGCAGCGTGCCGTTTGAGCTATCATATTACTATTGTAAGGCCCTCGGATATCGGGCAGCAAGCTGCTCACGTTGTCATGTGCAAATAGCCCCAGCTGGCATTCGACCCGCGTCTTTACAATACCCTTGAGTTTTTTTCTCGCAATACATGGCATTGTGTCTTGTCATGTTCAGCGCATTCTTTTTTCGCAGCACAACTACGTATCGTTTAGAACTGCGCCTTGCCCCACAGCGCATTGCTTTCTTGGAATGCGATGAGGCCAACGTGGGACCGTAGTTGACCCAGGTGTGGGTGATTATGTGGGGCACACATAAGCGACGTGGCCATCTCGGAGACACGTGGGAGTCGATCTGGAGGCAGAGTTGATCACGGTGTTGCATAAGAAACGTTTGACCGTTTGAGAACACCGTGGGGTGATGGACGTGCGCAGATGTTGTTGAGGGGGTTCCCCCAGCATCCTAAGTAGGGTTCTTGTTTTCCCTGGGGGCCCCGCGCAGGAACTGGAACCCACCTACATCATCATCAACAACAGCATCATCATCATCAGCATCATCACCAACATCACCATACTCATCAGGATCAGCATCATCACAATCATCACAACATCTGCCATCCCACAACATCATCATCAGCATCACAGCCATCATCATCACCATCATCATCACCATCATCATCATCGCAGCATCATCATCATCATCATCATCATCATCATCATCATCCGCCATCCGCCTCACTACCATCATCCCATCACGTCCATCGTCCATCATCATCACCCACTCACTACTCCCTCCACGTGCATTCACTCAACAAGCACTCACTCATCAGCATGTCAGGACCCCATCACGATCATCGGCCACCATTACCATCGTCGCCATCATCACCATCGCACACCACCATCGTCATCACGATCCCACTTCCACCTTGACCATCGACCAAGAGGGTGCCTCGTCTGTGAGTGGATTGCGACGAGGTCTCGCGAGCCCCCTCCCTATGGGGCATGCGTCTCATGTTCGAATCCGAGGCGGGTCACCGAAGACTTTTACTAATTGTAATCATCGCTTGGCTCTCCAGGCCTGAATCTAGCAACAGTCTCGAGCGAGAGCTTCGTCTGTGAATGAATTGCGGGGAAGTCTTCAGCGGGAGCCCCCTCCCTATGGGACCCTCGCCTCCTTGTTGGAATCCGAGGCTCGGCATCGGGAACGTGTAAGTGTCATCACTTTGGGGTTTCGCGGGCTTGAATATCGAGGAAGTTTTGAGCGGGAGCCTCGTCTGTGAGTGAATTGGGAGGGCGTCTCAGGCGGGAGTCCCCACCCTATGGGGCCCGCACTTCACGTTGGAATCCGAGGCGGGCCATCGGAAACTTCTACTTGTCATCACTGTTGCCCTCCCCCCCCCAGGCCTGAATACACAGGAAGTCTCGAACGGCAGCCTCGTCTGTGAGTGAATCGCGAGTTCCCTCCCTATGGAGCCCGCAGCTCATGTTAGTAATCCGAACGGGTCGCCAAAAACTTGCAATTGTCATCATGATTGGCGTCTTCAGGCTCGATCATGGAGGAAGTATCAAGCGAGAGCCTCGTGTGTGGGTGAATTGCGAGGAGCTCTCAGGCGGGAGCCCCCTCCTTCCGCAGCTCATGGTATTAATCCGAGGAGGCCATCCAAAAATTGTCAACTGTCATAGAATTGGGCCTGCTCAGGCTTGAATATCAAGCAGGAGCCTCGTTTGTGAGTGGATTGCGAGGAAGTCGCAGGAGGGAGCCCACTCCCTATGGTGCCCGCAGCTCATGTTAGTAATCCGAGAGGGTCATTCAAAGTCGTGGAACTGTCGTCAACTGCGGGTTCCTCAGGATTGATATTTGGGGAAGTATCAAGCCGGACCCTCGTCTGTGAGTAAACTGTGACGACTCTCGGACGCTGGCGTGGTGGATCAACACGCGCGTTCGTCGCGACGCACGGCGTCTCGGCGTGCCCCTGGTCTTCGCGCCAGCCGTAGACGAATGCAGCGCGATTCAAGCCGATCCTGTCGCGTGCTGGCGCCTTCTGAACGTCCCGAACATGCACAAGCCGGGGGACATCCACAGCGTCTTACCATCACGCGTCGGCGTGGCGGTTGGGTTCACGGCCGTGCAGGAGGAATTCAAGAAGAAATTCGGGTAGATGCAGGAGCAACAGGCCACCATCGTGTCCTCCGGGTTTCACCAAGACGACGACTGGGACTACGAAGAGCGCGCGCCGGGCCAATTCTTTCGCCCACGCTACCTACCGCAGAGAACCTGGATTCAGGTCCACGGATTCAAGGAGTCTCCGATCTACCGGGAGGTCGCCGCGCTGCTGCTACAGGGTGTCTAAGGCGTTGGCGATGACGGCGAGGCCGAGGCGCGGGTGAGAAGCTTGCTCGTGTCCACGCCCAGCGAGCAGGAGCTCACGTGGCAGAGCATGGGGCCGCACGTCGCGCGCCGTTTGGGGCGCGCGTCCTATCTAACCTCCTCGCTGTCGCAGGGTCAGACGCTGCGCAACGGCGTCGCCATCGACTGCGCCAGGGATGAGGACGCCGGTCGCGTGCACGTCGGACGAGCAGTGGCGGCTGCACCTCTACGTCATGTTCCCCCGTGCCGCACGCGTGCGGAACACGCTGATCCTGCGGCCGCCCAAGAGGCGCGTTCTGAAGCGCGGGCCACCGACGCCCTTGCGGAAGGCGCTCGAGGAGTTCGGCGAGAGAGCGGTGAACCCCAGGCGTTCGCGAAGTGCGAGTTCTGAAAGGAAGGAAGGGCCGGCGTTTTGCAAGGAATGCGCGGCGGAGGTGAAAAGCGCGAGCGAGAAATGGTGCGACGCGTGCAAAACGCACGCAGCGCAACGCGGGGGGGCGCGGCGCGGCGGCGACAATGTTTGCGCGGGGGCTGGCGGCGCGGAAGAGCCGGAAAATATTCGGAACATGTATTGCGCGAAGCGCAGCCATGTCAAGGCGCAGCAGAAGTCGCGACGTGGCAACTCGAAGTGAAAACATAGCGTGGGCACAGTGCGATGTTCGAGCGGCAGGTGCCCGTCGCTGTTCGACGAGCGGGGGGCGCTGTCGGCGGCGCAGAAGGAAGCACGCTGCAGCGGGGGGGGCTGCGTCGGAAGTGCGCGGAGGTCCGGCATAGCGTAGCGCTCGAGTCGAGCAGCCGCAAACGGAAAAACCGTTGACGCGCTGTGCGCCAAGTTGTGGGAAACCTCTTGGAACATTCAGGAGCGCGAAGCAGTTGAAGCTCGAGCAGGCGGAGGACCCTCGTTGGAAGAGAAGCGCCAGAGTGGTATGCGTGGGGTGTCAAAAGCGGAGTGTAGCCGCCAAGGGAATAGCCGATGCGGCGATGCGGTCGGAGTGCACGCGCGCGGCCTGTGTGTATTTTCGGGCGCGAAACAATTGAAGAAAGACCAACTGTAACATCATCGCAAGACGAAGCAGGCGCGCGCAAGGTTGCAAGGGCGTCGGGCCCACAGCACCCAGTTGGCAGGCGCATCCGTGCAGCGGAATCTGCAAAAAGAAGCTGCCGAAATCGGCGATATCCGTGTCCAGTAGCCATGTCGCGCGCGAGGGGGAAAAAAGGCGCTCTGAAGTGCAAGGCGTGCAAGGTGTGGAACCGAACCAGCACTGGTGCGAACGTGCCGAGCTCAGTGGAAATCGGATCAGGAAGGAAGAGAAGCAGCGGGAAAACGAAATCCATGACACGTAAAAAGCAGAGAAGGAAGCATCCGAAAAGGAGGACGAGGAGGAGGAAGCGGAGCAGGGGAATAGTTCGGATGAGGATGAGAAGAAGGATGCGGAGGCAGAAGAAGAGGGGAAGGAAGATAGTCATGGTTTGCTTCATGGGGCCTCCGAATCCTGAGGGATGCTTCTTGGGGTACATGTAGCCCCCGCAGCCAACATTGTCAGCACTCGCCGTGCATGCGTGGGAAAATTGCGCGGGTACCCTGACCGCGAGATTTGTCATAGTTCTGGGTCCATCCCAGGATGGTTTGGGGTCAGAGTCTCAGGGATGTTTCGTGGAGGCTCTTCGGAGCGCTTCCGGGGGACGATTGGAGGGGCAGCGACCGAGTCCCGAGGGATACTTTTTGGAGTCGCTGCGTTCGCCGCGGCTGACATTGTCAGTGTGCTCCGTGCACGCACGGAGAAGCGGGCGAACACCCCCGTGCACAGACTGCCGGCATGCGTGAAACCACCAGAGTGACGATGATCGAAGACGCCTACGGCGAATCGCGACCGCCCCCTGCCTCTTCGACACCCGCCCCTGTGGCCAAACGCTTTTGGGTCCAGAACTTGGAGCAATTATCGGACCAGGTGTTCCCCGAGGCGCTGTGGAAATCTTTCGGGGAACGCTTGGGGGAGCTAGAGGCGGAGGAGGATAGCAAGAGAAAGGGTGGAGGGAGGATGGGTCTTCTTGGGAGCCCCTTGGGGCACTCTTGGGCTCTTGGGGCCTCTGGGGAGCTTCCTGGGGGCCTCTTGGGGGCCTCCTTGGGCATCTTGGGGGCCTTTGGGAGCTTCTTGAGGGCCTCTTTGGCCGTCTTAGAGCGTTCCTGGCCCGTCTGACGCCGTCGGAAGTCGTTTTGGATGACATTTGGGATGTCTTGGAGGCCTCTTGGGCCGTCTTGGGGCCCTCTTGGGGCCGTCTTGGAGGTTTCGTGGACCGTCATGGAGCCATCTTGGACGCCTTCGCGGCCATCTTGGGGCGATATTGGGGTCCTCTTGGGCCGTCTTGGGCCGTCGGACGGCCGGAAAGAAGCGCATGCACCAATCCTTCAAACACCTAAGGAACATGTATGAGTTAGGCCTCTTCGGGCTTTCCTGGAGTACCTCTTGGCGGCCTCTTGGGCCGTCTTGGGGGCCTCTTGGAGGCCTCTGGGGCTGTCTTGGGGCGTCTCGGAAGCTTTGTAGGCGAACTTGGAGGAATCTTGGGCTCCCTTGGACCGTCTTGGAGGCCATCTTGGACCATCTTGGGCGAACTTCAGGGCCATCTTGGCCGTCTTGGGGCCATTTGCAGTAAGAGAATGTTTTGCAACCGGAGCGAACGCAGCCTTCCCAGTGGCCAGCGGCACTGTCCGAAAAAACCCACGGGGAGTTCTTGATGGAAAAGAACGAGAACCAGGCCGTAAGACTTTATAAGACATTCAGCTCGCCAGGCTCCCTTGCGATGAATCAACAGGGGGCGGCGGATCGAATGGCCGTCGGCCCATCCCACCATCGTGCCTGGTTAGTGGATCAGAGGCAGGTCGGATGGCTGATAGGGGTCTCGTCGGAGGCCTCTCAGGGGCGCCTTGGAAGTAGTTTTTGTCCTCTTGGGGGCCTCCCTGGGGGCGCTTTGGGGCTCTCTTAGGGTTCCCTGGGGGCCGCTGGGGGCCCTTTGGGGGCTTCTTGGGGCAATCTTGGGGCGTCTTGGGGGAAGGCTCCGAATGTCCGTTCGGGTTCCCCCTCTGGGCCTTCTCTTGGGGCCATCTTGGGGCTCTCTTGGGCCGTCTTGGGGGCTTATGTGGCCGTATTGTGGCCCTTTTGGGCGTCGTAGAGCCATCTAAGGAGCTGTTTGGGTCATCCTGGACGTCGTGAAAGCCAAAAAGGCGAACATGCTAAACAGGTAAGTACGCTTCCCCACGAGAGTGAGACGATTTCAATTTCTCTAGGCCCTCTTGGGGGTCCTGTTGGAGGCTGCTTGGGGGCATATTGGGCTGCATGGGGGCCATCTTCGGCGTCTTCGAGCGATCTTTCGGCGACTCTGGGCTTCGTGAACCGTCTTGGAGGCCTCTGCGGCCCTCTTGGCCCGTTTGTGCGCCCTTTGTGCCCCCAGGGCGCATTCGTGCCGGGGTCGCCCCGGGCCCTGGGGCGCTTCAAATCACCGGTTTGGAGTCCCTGAGGGGGAGATGGGGGTCAATGCAAACGGGGGTCAGTCAGAGCGCCGGATGTTGCAGGCTCCTGCAGGGCCAGGATTGCATTAACCCGGGCTTGGGCACAGGATCAGGATCCTGCAGGATCTTGCATGATCCTACATGGCCTGACTGACCCCTGACACGGGTTTGGATTGACCCGGATCAGGAGATCCCCGAGGGGATCACTGGGGGGAGGGGTAATCTCACACGCCTGGAGACCCACAGAGGGATCGGGGCCTCTTCCAGAAACTGTCTGGCCTCCCCCAGTTTCCAGAGGCATCTCCCGGAGGGGCCCCGCGGGAGCTGCGCGTTCCAGGGGCAGTCTGCGATGAAGGGGCAGTTCCAGGAGAGGGTCATCGAGAGCTCGGGGCTCCCACGCTGCGAGGTGGCAAGATAGTGACGGAGGAGGAGGAGGAGGAGGAGGAGGAGGAGGAGGAGGAGGCGGGAAGAGGGCCCACAGGTGGACACAGCTGGAGAGGCTGGTCAGGACGATGTCTGGGCGAGGTCCTGGGACTGATGTGGCACGTAGGGTTCAGGCGCGCATGTCCCTCTACAGGAGGAATATTCAAAAACAATATACAAAACATAGAATCGGGGCGGTGTTGCTGTTACTTCGCATCTGTTTGTTATGTTTGGGGCTCTTACTTCTTTCTTCCAGAATCCGCCTGTAGGAGGACATTGCTCGACCTGAACGTAGGTTGGTGGGCGGACCGAGACTCCAGGGAGTCGCTCAAGGGGTACGACAGGGAAGTGGGCAGACGGAATCTCCCGCGAGTGCGCGAGCATGTCCTTCATGGGTTCAGTTCTAGACGGGGAGCGCTCGATACACGCTCTGCAGCGGCGATTGGGGACACGCACGCATTGCATGGAACCGTCCTTACAACCATGGCACGGAAATGAGGAGCACGTCGGCTTCGGCAGCATGCTCAAACAATGGCTTCCCTTGGTGCAAGGACGCCTTCGTGCGTTGTGCCCTCAGGCGCCGACCGTGCCGCTTGATCTGCCACCCGGTCGCGCCCGATTCTGGGCCAGGCATTGGCTCGATCGGGCTGCGTGTCTGCTTGCTTGTTCGGCGCTGTTCCTCGGGTCTTGCCATGGTGGTTCCTCCCGCGCGCCTCGCGCACCCGGGTGCTGCCGTCCCTTCCCCAGCGTTCCTCACGGTAGCAACTTGACTGTACAGTCGGGGCCCTGGAGAAGGAACCCTTTTCGTTGGGGAGGGGCTCCGCGTTCCTTAAGTGTTTCACAGCTTGCCTCAGGTTTTCCTCATGTATTCGATAGGAAATCGAAGTTTAACTTGTGGAAAAAAGGGGCCTCGTTCCTTATTTAGGGTTCCTTAGGTCAACGCCCCGACTGTAGCAAACGAGTGTTGCCTGAGGTGCCGGGGACTCCATGGGAGGAGCTATAGCACACGGGTGTTGTGTCGTTCGCCGGCGTCGGAGGCTCTCAGAGGATGCCGGCAGCATGCAGCTCCCGACGGTGAACGGCGCTCTGAAGGCACCCGCCGGCGCTCGTTCGATATTGTTCTGCGGGCTGCATTTGATGACTCCTGAGATTACCAGCCTGGAACATATCCCTAGCCCTATGCTGGGCATCTCCTCATCGCGATGGCCAATCTTGGGGATTCCCTTATTTCTTGAGGGCGGCTCCCTAAGACTGTCATCGCCTTTTGGCGTGTCAATCTCAGGGATAGGGACACGTTCGAGGCGGAGGGAGACGGAGATGAGGAGGATGAGGAGAAGGAGGGAGAGGAGAGGAGGGAGAGGAGATCTCCCTCCTCTCCTCTCATCTCCCTCCTCTCCCTCCTCCTCATCTCCCTGAGGATGAGGAGGAGGGAGAGGAGGAGGGAGAGGATGAGGAGAAGGAGGGAGCGGAGAAGGAGGGTCAGGAGACGTGGACGTCGCAGTTCTGTTTCGCCCGGCGTCTGCGTATGGGTGCGTGCCCCGAGACCTTCACGGGTCGCCCCGGCTCCGGGGATGCCGCAGGCAGACAGGGCAAAGATGGGGTTCCGTTTGCTACTCTGCACGACGTTGTATTTTTTCGCGGCGTTGGTTTTCGGGGCCTTCCTATTCGCGCACATGCTGCCCTTTTTTCTCCTCAGCTATCCGCGCGGCGAATTTTGAGTCACTGCGCTCCAGTGAGCGGTATCTTTCCTGCCCGTGGCGTCAACGCTGGAGCCGTTGGCAGTATCAATGTATCGGTAAAGCCATGTTTTATGAGGGTGCGTCTTGACTCCAGACACACAGGTGTATCCAACATCGTCTGATGGAAGGCGGCGCCCCGCTAGGTGACGCAGTCGCCACGTAGTGTAACACATGAGTATTGATCGGAATCGTCGACTTGCAGTGGCATGCAGCGAAACACCTGTAGCATTGTACCGCTTCGTTGTTCAGTAAAGTAGCATGTGTGGTGTGATACTTCAGCACTGATTTTTCGCTCAAGTGCCACACCACCAAACACAATGCCCTGCAAATCAACGACATGTGATATTCCACGAGGCGACGCGTTAAATGGATTACAGCATGTGTTATTCGTTGCGGCTCAGCGGGCTGATATGTTCCGCCAGACTGTTGTAGTGCGCCACGTGCTGATTTGTGCCTTTTGAACATTTCGTTGCCTAGCGCAGTTAGATATTAATGTGCGTGGTGTGCTTAACATGTGTAGCATAGTGTGTATCATATGATGACAGATAACACACCCACGTATAATAGTAGCCGATGCCATGGTATCCCATGTTCTTCGGATGAAAGCCATTGCACATGCAATGACCAGTCGCACGTGCGCTCATGCAAGCGTGGGTATTCAAGCGCGTATACTGATACATAAGTTGTTGCCTGCATAGTTCACCGAGCGCGCTCCACTAGTCGCAGAGTGCCTACTCGCAGACGTCCGAAACACACATGCGTGCCTCGATGTAATGGGTCGCACATCCCGTGCCTCGGATCGGGGCCATGTGCGAGCAGTTACCCTGCGAGTAGCGGAGCGCGGCTGCACACCCAGGGACGTGTACACACGCGCGCGTGAACGCACAAATGTTTGTACGCACGCGCGCTCGCTTTGTGCTCTGTCCGCTCGCGCCTTTCCGCTTCGCGACACTGGAATGAGCGGGGCGTCGCGTCCCGGTTTCAGGTGGCCCTGACGCTGATTGCGTGCCGTTTCTCTTCCTTCTCCTACTCCCCCCCGCTCTCCTCTTGCACCCTTATCAACTCCTTGCCCATTCCCCAACACTGATGTACACCATAAGTGCTACTCTCCTCTCTGCTGTCATGCTGTGCTTATTTCCTATGTCCTATCCCGTTTGTTTCTCTTGAACCGGATTGTCCCCAGATGGCGGGCGATTTTGTTTCTGCATCAGAACTTTCTCTGCCTTTCAAGGCAGGTTCTCCAGCGATGGCCACATTTCGGCATCGGTTCCTTCCTGGCCGTTGTCGCCCCCCGCCTTTTCCTTCATGCGCCTTCCCCTGGTCCTCCTGCTCCTCCCGCTCCTCCTACTCCTGTTGCTGCTTCTCCTCCTCCGTCCTGATCCTCCTCTCCCTCCCGCTCATCCGCCACCTCTTTGCCCTCCAACGTACACGACGTACACAGGTCCCTTTTTTTCTGATTGCGCGTCGCACCAGCGGGTCAATTCGACATCCGTCGGCGGATCGAGGGAAACAGCTAAATGAGAAGGGACAGCGTCAGGGGGGGGGTAAGGCTCCAGAGGGGAAGCATCGATCCCCAATCGCCCATTTATCGCCGACAGGGGCTCTACAGCCCACCACGCCCAGCAAAGAGCGGATTCGCTATCGGGGCCCGATCTCTGATCCATCGGGACTGGCCTTCTTCGTCCTGAGTTGTTCTGCTGGTGGTCCTGGCTCCTCCTCCTCCTCCTCCTCCTCCTCCTCCTCCTCCAAGGACTGGCCTTCTTCATCCCGAGTGGTTCTGGCGGTCGGTCCTGGGGGGGGGGCCGGGCGGGGACCCCCGAAACTTGAAGATTCCTCGGAAGCTCCCTGCTTATGTCCTCCCCCTTCTCTTCCTCCTCCTCATTCTCCTCCTCTTCCTCCTCTTCGTCCTCCTCCTCCTCCTCCTCCCCCTCCTCCTTCATTCCTTCTCCTTATAGATAACTTCGCCCTGTCGCACCCCGAGGCCAGTTTTTAGGGTGGGCCAGGCGTTGCGCCTGAGACTTCCTCACCATTTATGATTATGTGGAGGGCGGGTCGTTTTCTAAATGTGGGTCTCGCCTTAGCGCCACGCACATTCTTTGTAAACCATACAAGAGTTTCACGGGTTGAGGGCGGTTCCTTTTCAAAATGTGGTTCTCGCCTTAGCGCCGCGCACATTCGCTCTCAACATTTGCAAGAGCTTCACGGACTGAGGGCGGACCGTTTATTAAAACGTGGCTCTCGCCTGGGCGCCGCGTACACTCTTCTTCAACATTTGCAAGAGCTTCACGGATTGAGGCCCGTTCCTTTTCAAAGTGTGGTTCTCGCTTTAGCGCCACGCACATGTTTTAAGACCATTTGCAAGAGTTTCACGGATAGAGGGCGGTCTCTTGTTCAAAATGTGGTTCTCGCCTTAGCGCCGCCCACATTCGTTTTCAACATTTTGCAAGAGCTTCACTGGATCCCATGATCAACGTACCAGAAATGGTATTTGTGAAGGATTCAAGATTATGCGGGTGCAACAGTTATGTTGATTCGCGGTGTTGAAATCCAAACAATGGCGTTATGGCACGAGTCCAGATCGCCAGAACGCAGCAGTCAGGTTAATACGTGGCGTTGAAATCCCGTGAACAATGTTTTGGCATGTTTCAGGATCTTCAAACGGTTTGTCTTCCAACGAGGCAGTTCCTTTCATGGAAATGAACCGCTGTAGGGGCCTATGAAGAGGGAGCTTGGAAGGAGGGTTAATTCCAACATCGTTGATGACTCTTGGATTTGCACTGGTCCTCCTCCGCCTCCCCCTCCTCCTCCTCCTCCTCCTCCTCCTCCTCCTCCTCCTCCTCATCCTCATCCTCCCCCTCCTCTTCCCCCTCCTCCTCCCCCTCCTCCTCCTCCTCATCCTCCCCCTCCTCTTCCCCCTCCTCCCCCTCCTCCTCCCCCTCCCCCTCCTCCTCCTCCTCCTCCTCCTCCTCCTGCGTTTGCGCGGTCCACCGCGCGAGCAGGTCTGGGTCCGCGCGTCGTGAGTCCCCCCTCCCGGGCCTGCCCTGGGCTGCGTTCTGGCCAGCTCTTCGAGCTGCGCCCGGCCGCTGCGACGAGAGCCCAGGATAGACACGCGATCGGGCGAAGGGAACTATGCACATGCACCGATCCTGGCAAGGCCCATTCTTGACCCAGGATCGGTGCATATACCTTCCTGGCCAAGGTAGGAGGGCGTATGCACCGATCCTGGGCTCAGGGTGGGCCTGGCCAGAATCGGTGCATGTGCATAGCTCTCTTTCCTCTAACGCGAGAGATGGCTCGAGAGCTCCAGCATCGAGGAACATCACGAACGGAGCCCTGGACTCCCCGTCGTTCTGCACCGCTCCTCGAGCCGGATCGATCAGTGGAGGCCCCGGGGCCCGAAGCAAGGCACAATCGCCCGTCGCGAAGAAGTGCAACGCCTGGATCTGGGGGATGCTTGGCATCGGTCGGACGTGTGCATTTTTCCTTCGGCGAGGACCATCGAGGAGCATCCTTGATCATTTGGCGAAACAACCGCGCACGAAACCGAAAAAAGCACAGGGAATGGACAGCCGGGCGATGGCGAGGATGTGCGGTCAGGAGCTTTTGGTTAGCGTGTCGCTCCGCCGGTTGTAGCCCTCCGTTTCGGCGCGACACGACTCTCCGCTTCGCGGTCCCCAGGCGTCCGTGTGCCGAGAGCTTTGCCCGGCCTCCCGCCTCGCGGAGCGGAGCGGCACGCCATCCGCCCTTTTGGGGCATCGCGCCTCGCCAGGGACGACGCCGCGACGCGCTAGGAGAAAGCCTCCGACTGTCAGGAGCACGCGCGTAGTCTCTCAAACGAGGCATGCTGCTCATTGGCTGTTTGCACTGCATGTCCGCACGTCTTGGGCTTCCCGCCTGATTTTGATCTAGTCTCTACTCTCCGAAGAGCCTTCAGAAGCTCCCCAAAAATACCTGGGTCGTCAAGCGCCGATCCTCGAGCCAGGGTAGAATGACAACCTCGAAGCAGTTGCAGCTGACGTCGAAGTCGATGTCATGTTCTCGTCAAGCAAAGCGCTGGCTCACTCCCCTCCCTGAGACTACCAGCTTCGCGCCAAACTGCTGCAGCGATGAACGGATCGAGAAGGCATGCAACAGATCCGGGCACAACACAGAACCACAAACCACGGCCAAGTGGATTTCTCGGGAGGGCCCCCCCCCGGGAAGTGCCTGCCGACCTCGACATGAGCATGTTGGCTGTGGCTGTGGTCGATTTGGTCGTCCTGGACGCCCACATCGACCACAACCCGTGCTGAGCTGGCTCCGGTCTTCTGGCGACAGCTGGCATGTGCAAGACGTCCCCGAGGGCGTGTCCTCAGTGTGAGCATGGTCGTTCGCTGCCCCCGCAAGAGACGCGGCCAGAGAGAAGTGCACGGGTCCTCGAGCCCCGATCCCCGAGCGCGTCGGTCCTCGAACCCCGGGCGGCGCCTGCTCGCCCTCAGAGCCCAGAGGGCGAGCGCGCCCAGAGATGCGATCCCAGGGCCGGCTTTTCATGGGGGAGCAGACGGTGACACGAGCATCGAACCCCGAAGGCCCGCGCGGGAATCGGCGTTGGGGCCAGCGCGCCAAGAGCGGCGCCAGTGTCGGCGCCAGCGGGCCCCAGCGCCGCTCCGCGGAATCCGCGCAGACCTCCCAGTCTTTCCGTTTGTGTCATTGTGCGCGGTCCCCGCTGCCCTGGCTGGCCACTCCGGCCCGCTTACCGCGGAGCTCTTCCACGTCTGATCGCTCTCCCCCTCCACCCTTCGCATGGCCGCTCTCGTCTTGGCCTCTCTTTTTGTTGCTGTTCTCTCTCTCTCTCTCTTTCTCTATCTCCCTTGCACGCCGGACGATTCGCCCATCGCCTGCCCCGACGAGCCCCGCGCCAGCATGCGTTGCCTCCGCCTCGCCGCCGACGAGAAAAGTCTGTGTGTACGCCATGAGTTGCTCCCCTGCTGCACCCCGAGCCGTCTGCTGGACGGTCCCGGGGGGGCCCGGCGGGGGCCCCCGGAGGAGTCGGGGGTGGACAGACCTCCTACCCTGACACGTCGATTAAGGAACTTGCCGTTTTCGGTTCGCGAGAGGGCGCCGCGGCCGTCCTTTTTTGTAAGTCCAGGTCCGTCGGGTCGGTTTCGGTCCCAGGCCGTTTTCACTGAGGGGAGGTCTACTAAATGGAGGTTTGCCCACCGCTGAAGGAGGAGGCTCAGAGCGGCGAGCCGTTCCCGCCTCGAGCTGCGAGGTCGGTCGGGCTCCGGCTCTGCGGAGCCGGGCCCTGGACTCCTCTTAGAAGGGGGCGCGTGGTGGCGCAGGCTTCCGGGGAGGGTCCAGACGTGGCGACGAGGAGCTTCCTGGAGGCTGATCCTCGATCCTCGGTTCTCGATCTCGACCCTCGATCCTCGGTTCTCGATTTTCGAGATGGCCTGGATCCTGGGTTCTCGAGTCTCGGAATGGCAGGGTGCTTCAGACTTTTCCATCACGTTGGTGAGATGCTCGCTTTGGGGACCTTTGGGGCGCACGAAACGGATCTTTTCGACTCTGGTTCGAATCTAGCTCGACTCCAGCTGCTCGACCCAGGTTCGGCTCAAGTAGACGGGTGTTCGACGCAGCATCGACGCACGAGTGAAGTACGTGGCTCCACGAAGGCCCCTAGAACGAGCACCTTGAGATCCATCGTCGCGAACAAGTTGCAGCATCGCGAAAAATTGCGAACGGTGCGTGCCCTGGACTCATTTTTTCTGCGCCAGTATTCGAGCCAGGTCGATATGTGAGGGTCCAGGGGCCCGAAACCAGGCACATCACCCGCCGTGGAAAAAAGGCAACGCCTGGATCTGAGGGATGCAGGGCCGGGAGCTTTTGGTTAGCGTGTTGCTCCGCCGGTTCAGGCCCACCACGCCTCGGCGCCACACGCTACTCGCTCCGCGGTCCCCAGGCCTCCCCGTGCCGAGCTTTCCCCAGCCCCCCGCCTCGCAGAGCGGAGCGACACGCTCGCCGCTTGCAGGGCACAGCGTGTCGCCGGGGCCTCCGCCGCGACACGCTAAGCAAAAGCTCCCGACCGCAAGACCCAGTGGGCAGAGGAGGAGAAGGTACCCATGTTGCTACCCTTCCCTCGTTCTCCCGTTTGCTGGGCCTCCTGGGAGGCCCTCGTCGCCACCGCTGGATTCGCCTCGAAATCCGGGCCAGAACGCAGCCCCGCAGAGGTGCCGGGAGCAGCGGCATCGGTACCCTTAGGTTTCCCCAGTTGGGGATCCCGAGGGCCTCGGCCCCGCGCGCCGACGCGCCCTCGAGGCGGCTTGGGAGGCGGAGGCGCGGGACCAGCGCTCGGCGCAGAAGCGGCTGGCGGCCCTGCGGGAGCGCCGCCGCACGCACATGCTGCTCGCGTCGTCGTCGTCGTCGTCGTCGTCGTCGTCGTCGTCGTTTTCGTCGTCGCTCGTCGCTCGTCGCTCGTCGCTCGTCGCTCGTCGCGTCGTGCGCGCGGGCGCGGCTGTGGTGCCGGGGCCACACGGCGGGGGGGGGCGTTACGTCATACCCCCCCCGCCCTCCCCCCCCATGACGCCCGTCATCGCCGAGCATACAGAAAGCGCTCCTGGAGCGGTCGCTCTGAGGCGCTAGGTGGGGGGCGACAACGACGACGACGACACCGACGACGTCTCCGACGACTTCGACGACGACAACGACGCCGACGACGACGAAGACGACGACGGAGACGACGACGCCGACGAAGGCGACGACGAGGGAGGAGGAAGGACGACGACGGCGACAACGACGACAACGACGACAACGACGAGGGAGGAGGGAGGACGGCGACGACGCGAACGACGACGAAGGAGGAAGGACGGCGACGCCGACGACGACAACGACGAGGGAGGAGGGAAGACGACGACGACAACGACGACGACGACGGTGACGAAATAGAACCGAAGACGAGACGCCGACGACGGACGACGACGACGACGTGGGAGGAGGTTGACGGACGACCACGGCGACAACGACGACGGAAACGATGACGACGCCAAAGAGGGCGACGACGACGAACACGAGAAAAGACAGAGGACGACGTAGGCGACGACGACGACGACGCGAGAGGAGGGAGGACGGCGACGACGACGACGACGACGACGACGCAAGAGCGCGCGCGCACGCTTTTGTTGAAAATCCGTGTTGCGAAACCTTAGGTTTTTGTATGTTTTTTGGACGCACGATTTTGAAATCCTTCCGAAACCGATGGGTTTTGAAGGTTTTCGGCGTACGCCCGCGACGACGCGCGCGTCTGCACGTCGTCCCATTTTTTGCAGGGGATTCTCGCGAAGGCACACGCGCAAGGGCGTTCGACAGATTTCGACATGCGCGCGCGCGAAGCCCGTTTGGTAGCATTTTGTGATAATCTTAAAAACCCTATGGTTTTCCAAAGATTTCGCAAGAGTTCGCGAGGAAGCTTTTTTAGCAAATCAGTGTTGCGAAACCCTGTGCTTTTGTATGTTTTTTTGGAACTCGATTGCGAAATCCGTCTGGCACCGAAGGTTTTGAAGGATTCCGGCATGCGCGCGCGACGACGCGCGCGTGTGCACTTCGTCCCTTCTTTTGAAAGGGATTCGTTCACAAGTGCTATGTTAGAACAGCACATGTCACCGCATAGTGTTGTTTTTTTTTATATATAAGGGGACCTCAGGGGGGGAAACCGGTTTGGCTGGGATGATACGATTTCACATTTAGGATGGACGAGTGGACATAATCATATTTGATTTACACACCCGAAAGGGGAGCGGATAATTCCGGGGGGGGGTAGAGTCTTTTTTCTTTTTAGAACGGAGAATCTATGTTGTGTAAGTTGCGTGGTGCAATTAATGTGGCGCGAAATATGTGGCGGGAGCTATGTGGTGTAAGTTACGTGGTGCAATCTATGTGGTGCAGTTATTGGTCGAAAAAGTTTGAGCTGGCAACTCCATTGGTCGCGCAGCCAACACCCCCACCCACCCGCAATGTGGCTTGCTAAGCCCACGCGGTCCACCCGCAATGTGGTTTGCTAAGCCCATGCGGTGGCGATTGCGATGAGTGCATCGTCGCGGCCGCGCTGGTTTGCGCGCAGGGCCACCATCTGCAACCGACGCAGCCGCGGTGGCGTTGACCGATGGGGAATTCCCAGCGCGTCCCGCAGGCCGCGCTGACGCGCGGGCGTCTCAGACCGAATCGGTGAGTCGGGCGGGCGTGGTATCATTGCGACGCCGACAACGGTAGACACGCTGGTGATCGCAACGGCGATGGTGACGATGATGACGATGACGACGGGCACGGCAAGGACGGCGCCGATGCTGATCACGCCGATAACGATGATGAAGTCCACGCGTCGGTGATGGTCGCACTGAATGAAAATGTTGACACGCCGATGGCTTTCGTAAGAATGCGCACCTGCGCGCGCGCAGGGCGGACAAACCACGTTTTTGTTATAGGTGCTCGGGGCGTTTGGATTTCAGCGCCATACGGAACCCAATTGTGTTGAAATATTTGGGCACGCGCGCGCGACGATGCGAGCGCGTGCACTTCGCCCCGTCTTTGGCAAGGGCTTTTTGCAACTGGTTGAATTTGGGGGAAAAACTTGTGCGCGCGCATTTTGTCGCAAGGGTTGAGGGGGGTGTCGATGCTGGCTGGGCTTGGATGGTAAGGGCTCAACTGTATAAGGATGAGCGACGGGGCAGGTAGACAAGTCGGTTGCGCATCCCAGAGGGGGGGGCGCCGATAATCCAAAGTGGGAAGGGTTAGATCTAACGTCGTGCACGCCAAGTTGCGCGTGGGTGGGTGGGATGTTCGCGCGAGCAGTGGAACTGACAACGCATTGCGACCAGAAGCGAATCAGCCATGTAGAATGCACATTTCGCTTGCGTTACCTGGCTTGCACCGCATAGATTGCGCCGCATAGCTTCTACAAGAAATACTGCACCACTAGCATTCTCCTGTCTAAACAATAGTAGGGCCCCCCCCTCCCCCCTTCCCCCCGCGCCCCCCGCCGGATTTAACCGCCCCTGCTTCGTATTGCAATGTGCGCATTGTTCTGCCCGATCGTATATCTAAGATGCACATAGGACTGGCTAGGATTGTACGAACTCATATTCAATATTCGTAAGTATGGGTTCGTACCCTCCTAGCCAATCCTGTAACGGCCCCCCTTTCATCTTCTCAGAAAAATATACGTCGCGCGCATTCGTCTGTCAAAAATCAGCAGTATTCAGGAATCAGTTTTACAAAGCATGGAACGAAGTGCCCGCTGGAAGTGCCCGGCGGCCAGCGCCACCGCGGCCGCGTCGGTCGCGCCGCGCTAGCTGGTCGCTGCGCGCGCGCCGGCAAGGGCGGCCGCAGAGATGCACCAGCCAATGCTGGACACTCCTCGCAATCACCGTCGCATGGTTTTTGAAAACCAAACTACGGGCGGGCGCGTGGGGCGACGGATCGGGCAGTGGAGTTGACAAGTTCAAGCGCGGGGAGGATGGCGCAACGTAGATATTCCCAGACCCCTCCCCGAATTGACGGGCCCCCTCTTCGCGTCGTCGCGCGCGCGTGCCGACGCCCTTCCAGAACATGCTAGGCGCCGCGAGCAATTCAGGGTCGAGCGCCCCGAGAACATTTCAAACGCACATTTTCTTGCAACGCGGACTTCCCAAACATAGTTTGCGCTCGCGCCCTGCAGGTTCTTGGGCAACGCTGTCACTACATGCTACGAAGCAGCCCTCTCGCGCGCGCGCGTAGGGACCGTTCGAAAGCCTTTGCGCGCGCGCTGTCGCGAGAACCCCTGGCAACAGTTGGGGCGGGGGGCACGCGCGCGCCCCGTCGCGCGCGCGCCGAAATCTTTCCGGGGCCGCAGGTTTCGACGGGATGTCAGATGCGAGCGCCCCGAAAACAAATAAAAACACATGGGTGTCAACGGCGGCTGCCAGGGGTGCTCGCGCGCGCGCTCTTGCCATTTCCAAAGAAAACCATAGGTTTATCAACGTTGCCATCGCATGCTGCCGCGCGGGCCTCTCGCGCCGCGCGCCGAAAAAAAGGAGCGCTCTTGCGCGAGCGCTGGGAGGGCGCGATCCGCAGCTTCACGTCGCGCGGGCCATTCGCGCGCGCCGGCCGCGCGCTCGCGTTGAACTCCTTGCGCAACCTCCATCGCCGACGCGAAGATATCGTCATCGTTATCGGCGGGCGCGATCAACGTCGGCGCCGTCGCTGGCCTTGCCGTCGCCATCGCCGCCATTGTCGCCAGCGTCGCCGCCTTCATCATCGCCCCCGCGGTCATCGACGTCGCCGCGCCGCCCCGCTCGCCCTTTCCGCCGACTCGCGCTGAAGGGCCCGCTGGAAGTGACCAGCGGTCAGCGCCGCCGCGGCCGCGTCGGTCGCGCCGCCCAAGCCGGTCGCCGAGCGCGCGAGCATGCGCGGGGTAGCGCGGCCGCAGAGATGTACCTGCCAACGCCAAACACTCATCGCAATCACCGTCGCATGGGTTTCGAAAGCCACGTTGAGGGTGGGCGGGTGGGGCGATTGCGCTGGCAGTGGACTTGGCAAATTCAATTTCAAGTTGGGCAGGTCCCCCCCCCCCGGAAGTGACGGCCCTTTTTTTTTTCGCATCGCAACTTATTATGATTCTGCCCCGTCGTCGACCCCAAATATGAATTCACGCCGCCCCAGGCAGGCCGGCGTCGGCCCCGCCCATCATCACTTGCAAAACCAAGTATGCGCGCGCACGCGTTTATACAAATTCGCAAGTTTCCAAGATTCTTGTGCAAGAATGAGACGGGCTACGCGCGCGCGCGTGCTAAAATCTTTCCAAAAACCACGGGTTGCATGGGGGTTGTGAAATCGAGCACACCGGGAACATATTTAAACACAAACATCGCAATATAATAAACAAAACAAGCGCGCCCGGACTCTTGCGAAATTATTGGAGAACCAGCTGTTTTTCAATGCTTTCATAATTTGCTACCAACATTGGCCTGTCGCGCGCATGTCAGAATTGCTCCGGCGCCCTTGCGCGCGCGCTGTCACAATGATCCCCTGCGCAAAACGGGGCGAAGGGCACGCGCGCGCGTCGTCGCGCGCGCGCGTGGACATCCCTCAAGAATGTCAGGTCTCGTGAGGATTTCAAAACCGAGTGCCCCGAAACATGTGTCTGCCCCATGGTTTGGCAACGCCATTTTCAAAAATGCCTGCGCTCGCGCTCCTGCGACACCTGAAGAAAACCCTAGGTGTTGCAGCGTGTTCTTAAAATTCGACCAAGCTGGCCCCTCGCGCCGCTCGTCGAGATCATTCGAGCGCCGTCGCGCGCGCTGGGGGGCGGGGGGTGGGGGGCAGAGAGCGGGGCGCGGTCCATGCCAAATAA